TTAAACAAAATACATGGGCGATGTTGTATTCTTAACATTTGATAGTATATTTTTAAATTTTCATAAAGGGGATGTGATATTCTAACATTCTAAAAACTAGTATGTTTTTTTTAAAAAAGTACATGGGTGATGTTATATTCTAAACATATAATACTAGTAGAATGCCTAATATTTCTTAATTTCTTTACGGCAATGTGATATTCTAAGGTTCTAAGCATCAAATACAAATAATTTTTATAAGATTAATGAACAATATACATGGGGGATGTGATATTCAAAATATTTGTTTTTTATAGGGTGTAATATATTTCCTAATTTTAATAAGGAAATGTCATATTCTAAGTTTTTAAACTAAAAGTGCAACTAATTAATATGATATTTATAAACAAAATAGATGGGGGACGTGATATTGTAAACATACAGTGATAGTTAGTGATATATTTCTTAATTAATTTGCTGGATGTGATATTTTAAGGTTCATAGCAGAAAATACAACTAATTTTTATGACATACAGTGTTGTGAAAAAGTTAAGAACCACTACAGAAAAAAAAATTATTTTCAAATAAAATTAATTAATCTTTCTAATTAAGATAAAAAAAATAGTCTTTTTTTTTTTTTCACACATTAAATAGCACATGAGAAAAAAAAAAAATTTTTTTTCAAAATTTAATTAATAGAATCTTTAAAAATGAAGATTAAATATTATGTATTAATTTTTTTCAATATTTTTTTTTGTGAAAAAGTTAAGAACCACAAGGAATCTTAACTTTTTCACAAGTGCTAAATGCGGTGGAAACGGATTTTTTTAATTGGCTTTTACCTTTTTTAACTAAATATTTTATTAATGACCTGAGTCATTACCAAAAAACCAAAAGTTTAAAAAAAGTATTTAATTTCATACAAAAAAAAAACTCTCTTCTTTTGAAAAAATGAGCAGAAAAGCTATTACCTATGAAGATCGTGTAAAAGTAATGCATTATCACCAGGAAGGTAAATCTGCTCGTGAAATTGGAAGAATAATAAAACTTTCAAATAGTTCGGTGCTAACAATCATTAAAAGATTCAGAGAGACGAAATCTTACGTTGATCGCCATCGTTCTGGAATATCACGTTTGACGACACCCAATGATGATCGTCTTTTAATCAGGTTGGCAAAGAAAAATCTAACTATGTCGTCACATGAATTAAGAAGGGAATGGAAGCTTTCAAATCGATGTCAAGCATCTGTATCACTTGTGCGTAGGAAACTAATACCAAACAATATGCTATGGAAAAAAGCTGTTCTAAAACCGAGACTTAACAAACAACATATAAAAAAGCAAAAAGAATTTTGCCAAAGTGTCAAATAATGGTCTAAAGAAAAATGAAGGACAGTAATGTTCAGTGATGAAATGAATATCGAGGTTGATAACCGAAAAAACCGAATTACGATTCGCAGGCAGCCTTCCGAAAAATATCATCTTGATTGTATCGTTCAAAGAACAAAACAAGGTAGTGGATCGGTCGGAATATGGTGCTGCATGACATATTATGGTCTTGGTATGTTTAAATTATTTGATTGTCGACTCAACTCTTTTTATTACGTCGATATTTTAAATAATAACTTGTTACCATCAATTGATGCACTTGAGCAAAGCGATCCGTTCATTTTTCAGCAAGATAATGCACCATGCCACCGGGCTAAAATTGTCTCTGAATGGTTCGAAAACAAAAATATTGAGCGTCTAACTTGGCCACCAAATAGTCAAGATCAAAATTGTATTGAAAATCTTTGGAGTTGGCTTGATAAACAGATTGCCAAGAAAGCACCAAGCAGCCTTGAGGAGTTGCGCAATATTTCATCAACAATACTTAGAAATATTCCCAAACATATTTCAGAGAATTTAATAGACTCAATGCCAAATCGTATAAATAAGTGTTTAAAAATTCATGGTAGAATTACGTGGTATTAGGTAAAAATTACCATTTTTTGTTCTGTGGTTCTTAACTTCACAATTTTTTTAAAATAAAAATTACCTACAAAACTTTAAATACATTTTTTATTTGTTTTTATTATTTTTTATTTTGTTTGTCTATTTCTTAAAATTTATTATAATTATTTTTTTACCAGAAAATTATATTTGACTAAATAAAAATTTAAAAATAAAAATAAATTATGATTTGTTTTTTTGGTGGTTCTTAACTTTTTCACAATACTGTATATAAACGATATACATGGGGGGGGGGGGGGGGGAGGAGGAGGGGGTGGTGATATTTTAAGTAATACAAAACTGTTAGTGTACAATAGATTTCTTATTTACATCTAAGATCCAAAGCAGCAAATAAGACTATCTATAAATTTTTTAAATAATATACATTGGAATTGTAATATTTTGTATATATAACATATATAATACTGGTAGTACATAGGGGGTATGACATTCTAAACATACTGATAGTTTGTGATATAATTCTTATTTACACTAAGGGAGTGTAATATTCTAAGCAGCAAATTTGACTAACTATGACATTTATAAACAATATACATAGGGGATGTGTGTCTAAACATAATACTTTAATATTCGTTATATTTCTTAATTTTATTATGAGAGGAGATTATGATTAGGATAGTATTCTAAATTACTACTCTAAGAGATTTATTAGAATAATATTCTTTTTTTAGGTTTCTTCTTGTTGTCCCTGGCCACCAGCATTACGTTTTGTTGCATGTTATCAGACTTGTATGGTCACTACTTTTGAAGCCTTTCTGACTGAACAATACCCAGCTGTTTGTCATCAATGCCATCTATATCATGTGATGTAACACTGAATGCAATCACTTTTAAAAAAACAGTTAGTTAAAGTCTTCTTTATTCTGTTTCACTCACTTTCCATTAAAATAATTACAGAATATCTTACCTTTAAGAGTATTTATAAGTTTTTGCCTGATGTTGTCTTTAAGTATCTCAATCTTTAATTGTAGATTGCAGCTACTAATGAAGTTTGTAAGCGAATACCTATACTATATCAAGCAGAAACCAAAGCAGTACAACCAGCACTTATTTTTTCAGCACTTATGTTTATCATTATCTTATCCATCCTCCTAAACCAAATATGTTTATTCTTATCCAAATATTCTCCATCCTCCTAAACCAAATAGGTTTGTTCTCTACTGATTTCTAGAATGATTGCTTTTTCTCTTTACTATACATGTTTCTTAACTATTGTACATGCTTGACTGAATCTAAATCATGACACCTGTCCCCTCCAACTGCTATTCAATCAGTCTTCTCTCTATTATAAGCAAAGTCTTTGATAATTGATCAACAAATTTCTAACATTCCAACTTAAGTCTAATATTTTACTCCCTGACAATCATTATGGTTTTTAAACTTTTTGTTTTAAGGCTGACTTATTTACTGTAATGGCATGCTGGTCTTCTCCATAAGCTTGCTTCATGTGACGTATCTGGAAAAGTTTTTGAGATTATCAAAACATTTCTTTCTAATTGCTTTATCAATAATGTCATTATCGAAGGCTAACACTCTTCTTCGTTTCCAGTGCGTTCTGGAGTACCTAAAATGGTTATACTTGATTCACACTTTTTTTAAAAGTAAGGTTATTTGAAAAGAATATTTTCAAAAAAAAATTCTTTTCAAATGACCTCATTTAAAATAAAAGAATATTAAGATAAAATAAAGATTTTTTTAGATAAAATAAAGATTTTTTTAGATAAAATAAAGATTGTTTTAGATAAAATAAAGATTTTTTTTGAGAAAAGAAACAATTTTTAGATAAAATAAAAATAAAATTTTTTACAGGAGAAAAATTTTTCACTCCCTTGTAAAATTTTAATTTTGTGACTTGTCACATTTTCAAAATACAACGCTCAATTAAGCTACTATGTTTTTTTGGTGCTAACCATTTATTTTTTCTGAAACTTATGCTTTTCTTAGTGTTCATTCTTAGTCATCATTGAAGTACAACTTGGTAAACTACAAAACACATCAAATTCAGTTATAAAAATTTGAGTAACAAAGGTATGCTAATTATTTCAAATTTTTGTAAATCAAAAATTTGAAATATCACACAGTATAATTTTTTTTTTTTTTTCATTATTTGTTTATAATAGTTTAGATTGTATAGCTATTATAAAATGTATTATTAAAGGTATCAATAATACATATGTGGCATTGAAGTTATTAGAAGCTGATATTTTACATTTTAAGTATGACTCTTGTTTGATTTTTTCTGTGTTTGATTGTGAAAGCCCATCTACTAATATATTAAAACTGTACAAAAAGTGATGTTACTAGAATTTATATTCTACTTATGTAGAGCTTTCTAATTTTTCCAGACATTTTATTTTAAGACCAATGACTAGTCTATAATAATTAATTGAATTATGAGATTAAATCAATAAATAATCTTTAAAAACGGTAAAGCTACAGTTATGCAGCCTAAAATAATTATATTTTTGTGCTTGTTGTGCCAGGGGGTTTTGCTACATCAACTATCTTATAGCCTGCTGCTACAAGGAAGTGCTGCTACATCGAATGAGGGTTTGGCTTGGGCTAGCAATCTTTTTTCACTTTATTATTTCAATTATATTCCTATTGTTTGTAAAGCCTCTACTGACAAGCGGAAAAATAAAATTATTTTAGGCCGCATAACTGTAGGATTACCATTAAAAACAATTAAAATAAAAAAACTCAATTTAAATCATTATTTTTATTTGTCTGATTTAAGTCATGATTTAAATCGAAACCAACCTTTATATATTCCATCTTTCTGAGGCAGAGGGACATTATTCTTGGTTTTATTATTTTTTGATTTAATATCTCTGGATATTTTATATATTTAGTGTGCGTAAAACAGTTAACAACTTTAATCTTATACATTAACTTTAGTTATAACTTAATTATTAATGATTTGATATATAGATTTTTAAAGCAATACAAGATTAAACTTAGCAAAAGGCTAAACTTCTGCTCTGGAGAAAAAAAAGGAAGACAGCGAATATGACAAAGAGACAAAAAAATGTGTATATCTTGGTGTAGATGATTTATCCTCAATTTCTTATAATAAAACAAAAAATATTATTAAACTTTGGGATTTACCTGTAACTCGAAACTCTTTACAGAAGTTCAATGTTTGCTCTGAGAAATTGAATGAACAAAATTTATTAAATGGTAAGTTTTTTTATAAAAATCTTTATGTCTGATGATTGAAAATCTTTATTCATAGCTTGAACTTTTACAATTTTAAAGACTTTTTCATATATTACGGTCAAAAAGTCAGAGTTTTAGTTAACATTTTATTGTGTAATAATCAACATGTCAAAGCTTACACTACAGGCTTGGTCAGGAAGCAGGAGCGATCGTTCTCGAATACTGACCACAGAAAATATATTTAGTTGTGAAGAACTGGCCAGGTTTTTTAGTTGTTTTGAGAACATTTAAGATTATGAACGTAACAAAAATTTCTTGTTGGATTTCAAAGTTGGTGTCACCACCTTTGAAAACCATTTGAAATCAAATGTTGAAAAAAACAACAGTATTTGTATTATATCAGTATTCATATCAGTTTATAGTTTTAACAGTTGATGGTGATTCATTATTATTCATTATATAGACGTTTATTTAAATTTATCTAATAGACGAAGGTAATACAATATTTTTATAGATTATATTATTTTTAAAAATAGTGTTATTAAAATTCAGAACTAAAATATGTAAAAAAAATTATTTACAAACATTGGACAAGGTCGTACTGTACCTTGAAAATCTGTAAAATTTGTTAATATTGGCTAAAGTCGTGGAAAACCTGGAAAAGTCAGGAAATTATTTTTTTCTTTAGATAGTCATGGAAAAATCAGTAATTCTAGTTAAAAAGTTACTGGTTTCACAAATGAAAGCTGTATTTTGAAAACGTGATGAGTCACACTTTTTTTAAAAGTGAGGTTATTTGAAAAGAATATTTTCAAAAAAATATTCTTTTTAAATAACCTCATTTAAAATAAAAGAATATTAAGATAAAATAAAGATTTTTTTAGATAAAATAAAGATTTTTTTAGATAAAATAAAGATTGTTTTAGATAAAATAAAGATTTTTTTTGAGAAAAGAAACAATTTTTAGATAAAATAAAAATAAAATTTTTTACAGGAGAAATATTTTTCACTCCCTTGTAAAATTTTAATTTTGTGACTTGTCACATTTTCAAAATACAACGCTCAATTAAGCTACTATGTTTTTTTGGTGCTAACCATTTATTTTTTCTGAAACTTATGCTTTTCTTAGTGTTCATTCTTAGTCATCATTGAAGTACAACTTGGTAAACTACAAAACACATCAAATTCAGTTATAAAAATTTGAGTAACAAAGGTATGCTAATTATTGTATTGCCTGAAAGAGTGTCATTGCAGTGAAGAATTCAAGTACTCTGGAAGAAAAGAAAATGCGTAAGTAAATGGTAAATATTTTTTTATAATTCTTTTATGCATTTTGTGTGATATCTTAGTACAATTTATATACTTTAAATAAAATACTCTATGAAGATTTTTTGTAAATTACATTTTATATTAATTTAAGTCTAAACAAAAGTTACTTTAATTATTGCCAGGTTGTGTATTTTTGCAGATCAATTATTTGGCACAAATCGGAGTTAAAGACGAAGGAGATTGTATATATTATTTACTAAGAATAGTTTTTAAAAATGGCCTAGTTGTAAAATTAAACTATGCAGGGAGAGGACAAAAAATTGAAATAGAAAAAAAGTTGATTGCATATGCTGCTCTTGGTAAGTGGTTTAGAAAAGTTTATTTTTTCAGTTTCAATTTTGCATTACAGAATTACTTTCAATTTGTTATGTTTCTTTGGTGCATAATTAAACAAACAACTAATTTTTTTTTGCAGAAACTGTGAAGTCAAATAAGCATGGCTTATGCAGACATGTGATAGAGATAGAGGAAAAAAAAAAAAAATCATGGGCACCAAATATCATAAGCTAAACACTATTCAATAACAAGTAGCTCAGCCAATATCGAAACTACTCTATAAATTTTATAGTGAATTTTTTTATTTAAAACTCAATGTGTCAGTTTTTGGTTTAAGTTTGGTGTTTGCAATATGTATATTTAACCGATAAATTATGTTAAATAAATAAATTTTTATACTTGTATCATACATTTTTTTTTTCTCTATAAATTTTCATTGTAGCAATGCAAATCATCTTATTTGTAACAACGATCTAATGTTGCATAAAAAGTTAGGCCGATATATAACATACGATATTGGGCCAATGTTGTATACAACGTTTGGCCAATTTTGTCTACAACGTTGGGTCAATGTTGTATACAACGTTGGGCCGATTTTGTATACAACGTTGGCCTAACGTTATATACAACATTGGGCCAATGTTGGGTAAACGTTGTATACAACATTGGGCCAATGTTGTACACAACATTAGGCCAATACCTAACCAATGATCAAACCTGCATTGGGCCAACATCGACTTTCAACGTTGAGCCAATGCATCATCATGCATTGGCCCAACGTTGGTCCAATGAAAGCTTGCTGTCTGGGTCGCTTTTTGAAATTTCAATGGTTTTAAAAAGATACCAAGACTCTGGACCAACCAAAAGAGATAGTGTTGTTTTGAAATCAAGAACTGGAATATATATTTTTTTTCATTGTCTTCAACGCGACGATCTCTAATTGCTAATACAACAACCCAGGCAGCAAGCCTACATTGGACCAAAGTTGGGCCAATGCATGATGATGCATTGGCCCAACGTTGAAAGTTGATGTTGGCCCAATGCAGGTTTGATCATTGGTTAGGTATTGGCCCAACGTTGTGTACAACATTGGCCCAATTTTGTATACAACGTTTACCCAACATTGGCCCAACGTTGTATATAACGTTAGACCAGTGTTGTATACAACATTGGCCCAACGTTGTATACAACATTAGCCCAATGTTGTATACAAAATTGGCCTAACGTTGTATACAACATTGGCCCAATATCGTATATCGTATATCGGCCTAACGTTTTATGCAACATTAGATCGTTGTTACAAATAAGATAACTTGCATCGCTACATTAAAAATTTATAGAGAAAAAAAAGAATGTATGATACAAGTATAAAAATTTATTTATTTAACATAATTTCTCGGTTAAATATACACATTGCAAACACTAAACTTAAACCAAAAACTGACACATTGAGTTTCAAACAAAAAAATTCACTATAAAATTTATAGTAGTTTCGATATTGGCTGAGCTACTTGTTATTGAATCGTGTTTAGCTTATGATATTTGGTACCCACTATTATTATTTTTTCTTCCACTATCTCTATCACATGTCTGCATAAGCCATGCTTATTTGATATAAATATAAATATTTGGTGCATAATTAAACAAATAAAAATCAAATGAATTTCCCTGACCATTTTTAACAATCATTTTTACAAAATGTTTAAAATTACTATCTACTGTAATGGAAATGCTAAGATTGTACATGCTTTCAATGACAAAACTTTTAAAACTTAGCTATTAGTTAAGTTGGATATTAGTATGGAGCTTATTATACATGTTAGTATGGATATTATTATTAAGGATGACTAAGAACGAACACTAAGAAAAACATAAGTTTCAGAAAAATTAAATGGGTAGCACCAAAAAAAACATAATAGCTTAATTGAGTGCTGTATTTTGAAAATGTGACAAGTCACAAAATTAAAATTTTACAAGAGAATGAAAAACATTTCTCCTGTAAAAAACTTAATTTTTATTTTATCTAAAAATTGTTTCTTTTATCCAAAAAAAATCTTTATTTTATCTTATAATTTGATCTTTTTCTAAAAAAAATATTCTTTTCAAATAACCTCACTTTCATAAAAAGTGTGGTTATTTGAAATATAAAGTTGTCCAATGTTTGTAAATAATTTTTTTTACATATTTTAATTCTGAATTTTAATAATACAGTTTTTAAAAATAATATCATCTATAAAAATATTGTATTACCTTCGTCTATTATATAAATTTAAATAAACGTTTGTATAATGAATAATAATGAACCACCAGCAACTGTTAAAACTTTAAACTGATATGAATACTCTGTTGTTTTTTTCAACAGTTGAATTCAAATAGATTTCAAAGTTGGTGACACCAACTTTGAAATCCAACAAAAAAATTTTGTTACGTTAAATCAACTAGAAAACCTGGCCAGTTTTTCCGTAGTCAGTATTAGAGAGGGATCACTCTCGCTTCCCGACCAAGCTTTGATATGTTGATTATTACACAATAAAACGTTAATTAACACTATGACTTTTTTGACCGTAATATATGAAAAAGTTTTTAAAGTTGTAAAAGCTAAAGCTATGAATAAAGATTTTCAATTATCAGACATAAAGACTTTTATATAAAAACTTACCATTTAATAAATTTGTTCATTAAACTTCTCAGAGCAAACATTGAACTTCTGTAAAGAGTTTGGAGTTACAGGTAAATCCCAAAGTTTAATAACATTATTTGTTTTATTATAACAAAATGAAGATAAATCATCTACACCAAAATATACACAATTTTTTGTCTCTTTAATCTTTATTTTGACTGTTCATTTTCGCTGTCTTCCTTTTTTGTCTCCAGAGCAGAAATTTAGCCTTCTGCTATTAATTATTATTAATTATCATTAATAATTAAGTTATAACTAAAGTTAATGTATAAGCTTAAAGTTGTTAATTGCTGTACGCAAACTAAATATAAAAAATAGCCAAAATTGTTAAATTTTGAAACATGGAATATTAGAAGAAACATGGAATATTAGAAAGCTTTACATACGTAGACTATAAGTTCTAGTAACATCACTTTTTTTACACTGTTTTAATATGTTATTAGATAGGGTTTCATAATCAAACACAGAAAAAAACCAAACAAAAGAGACATATTTAAAATGTAAAATATCAGCTTTTAACAACTTCAATGGCATTGAAGTTGACATTGGCATTGACAATGGCAT